AACTAAAATACATAATCAATAAAAAATTAAAAATTTTTTGTTCGTATATTAAAAATATAAGTTAAAAGAGTAATAAATATATTTTTAATGATAAATATTAATATAAAAATATAAAAAGTGATATTAATATTTTATAAAAAAATAAAGATTATATTAAAATAATGAAATAGAGTTTACATATAAATTTTTATATCACAGTTTATAGTCAAATAAGAAGGATATCATACAGTACTAAATATAAACAAAAAGCATACTCATAACAAATATAGATAAATAAAGTTATATGTAAAAATTTAAAGGTCAACATAAATAGAATTTAAATATTAAGATAAAACAAAATAAAGAAGTTGCATACCTAAATTATCATAGTGCATAATCTATATGCCATTTAAGATCAAGATCATCATAATTCAAAATATGATCTACACTCTATGAGATAAAAAAAAAACCAAATATCATTGATATTGAGATTTAGGTCTTTTCCTTTCTTATTCAATTTACAAAAATATTATGATTATAATGTCATTTAATATTATAAACTTATAATATGATATGTTATTATATAATTAATGTTTTTTATTCAGAGATTCATTTATGATAGTATATGTATTTACTTATTTAATATTATATCCTACTTATTTAATGCCTTGTCATATTTGTAAATTTACAATCATATATAACATTATAACTATAACAGTATCATTCAACTTAATGGGTAAAATTGAATATTGAGTTCTATTAGCCTCAACATCCTTAATGGGTATATTTCTTAAAGTTCATTGAATATTTATTTGAGAAGTTTAAGAGAATTTCGTTGAAAACTCATTAGGTATTTATTTGATAATTTTAAAAGAATATTATTATTACAACAAGTTTATATAGTTAAGATTTTGAGCCCCTTTTTCGTAATCTAGTGAATCTGGTCTAAGGAATACTTTTATGCAGTCCAACATAATCGATTTGGCTTGCACAAAATCGTTTATACACTATTTTTGTTTTTCTTTTTCTTTTTTGGGTTTAACCATCAGTGTACTCTCAGCTTAATTTGCGCATACTTCTAGATTAATATCTTCTTAATTTAGTAAAAATAGACTATTCATGCAGAGAATAAGAAAGTTATGAAGAACTATATATTTTTTATTAACCTTCTTAAAAAAATTAAATTTTAATCAACAAGATAGAGAGCAAAATTCATTGTCAAACTAAGCCATAACAACTCCTTGCTCTGTACTATTAATTTTCTCATGGAAATGTTTAGGTTGATTGGAGAAGGTGTGCCCCTCATAAGTTGTTATCTTAATTATTTAAAACGACCTGGATCAAAATTTCCACTTGGATAACTTTTCGGATTGAAATTCAACAAACAAGGTTAAAAAGTTTAACTTCAAACTATTAATAACAGGATTAATTTAAATATTTAATTATATATCACTCACATTTATGCTTTTTTTAATGTGAGATAAAATGTCATATTATTTTTTTTATTGTATGAATTATATAATAAAAAATAATTCTCTTATCAATTTGTTTATCTATTTAAGAACTCTTAATTTCACATGAAGGAAATTATCACCACATTACTAAGGTAGTATGAAATTAACTTAAAAGTGGATTAAACTTCAATTCCACAAAGTAAGACTTGAGTCTGAAAACCTTAGTGATGTTTGGTTGGATAGAGTTATTATTCATTAATTAGTTAAATTATAAAAGGAGAAATAAGAATAAGAGGAATGGCATGGTAATGTAATAGCCATTAATGGTTATTATCGGAAAAGATTGTATTCATCCATTACAATGTCATGCCCACACAAGCTTTTAAATATTTGATTTTAAAATATAGATTTTATTTAGTCGTCTTGTTAAAAATAATTGATAATTATGATTATTAGTTGTTCAATAATAAAATAATTAATGTTTATTACTCAACATATTAAAATCAATTTATATACATATATTTTCAAATGATATAACTATTTACATAAAATACCATCAGTCATATAATTTGATAATAGAATTATTTTTATTTTTAATCATAAATTTAAGATTCAATCCACACTCTTTATACCTAAAAAAAAAAAAACTATTTACATAAAAAATATTAAAATATATGTGTGCGGCCACACCAGTTATTATCTACTTCTAATTTTCTTCTATACATAAGTGCGTGTTGGTGGGAGTTGTTAAAGAAGTAGGAGCTGTCATTACTATTCACACTGTATTTTATCTTAAGAAAATGAATGCAAGTTCTTAGTTCCTGCCATGAAATTCAATGTCCCTGCTTACTTACATCAAGGTTTTATTTAAATAAGATAACATAAAGGAGTGAAAGAGCAAGGTAAAATAAGAATGGCTATTATACAGTAGTTGTTTTCTTTAAGTAAGTGACTGTTACAGGAAATTACTAGACCATACGGTAACTGTTAATAGCAATCAATGACAATGACCCATGAAAGAATCATAATCCTATAAGAAAATTGATGCAAATTACAGAGTTAAAAAAAAAAAATGCATTCCTACTATGCTATACAATGTCCGTATTTTCCTACTATTCCCTTATAAGTTTATTTATTTATTTATTTTTTAGCAATGAGATGTTTCCAATTCAAGTTAGGCACACATTTATACTAATTAATCCTTATCTCATCTGATTAAAAAGTAGATTATTCATATTGGAATTAGGACATTTATAAAAATTGTATTTTCATTGATCTCTTTAAAAAATCAAATCTTGATCAATAAAATTAAAAGTTTCTCTTTGCCAATTAAATTACAATTCCTTGAATACCACTCTAAAAATATAAATTATCTACAAAATCTCTATTTGTGAAAAGAGTTAAAAAGCAACAATTAATAAAAGCAATATTGTCATTCCTTACTCGGTGTGTATGACAATAAAAAAAAAATAAAATAAAATAGACATTACTGAAGAGTACTTCATAATTGGTAAATCACAGGTTAATTTTTAACTTCCCTTTTATAATCAATTGCTTTGGTCAACCATACCATATTCGACTACATGAATTGGATTTGTTTATAGGTGCCAAGAAAGAAAAATTGAAGATCAACCTTTGGATCCATCTTCAGAAATTCGTAATGATATATGTCACAATATTATGAAAATTTCTATTATGCAAAATTAGGGTAAAGACTTTACCTCTTCTCATGTGTGACTGTAGTATGTCCATAAATCTTGAGCTAACAAACAAGTCTAATATGCCCACTCTCATATAGGTTCAAATTGTCATAGAATCTTAGATTTTTTAAGAACAGACTTTGAGTTATATATAATGTAAAAATTAAATACGTGGGTTTTAATATATTATTTACATTTAACTTAAAATCAATTAAAGATAGATAGAGTAGTAATTTTTATATTTTAGTTCACATATCTTTTTTTTATTAGTTTTACTAATGTAAATATTTTTTATTTAAAAAATATCATATGAGATTATAAATTTATAATCACGATAAGTTATTTAATAAATGAATATATATAATATTACAGATATATTTTTAAATAAAAATATTAATTATATAATAATATATCATAATTATAAATTTACAATTTCACCTAATATCTTTTTGGAAATAGTTTCCCCTCCTAGACCCGGATGCTGGATATGTTCTAATATTCTACTCCATGTGTCTAATTAAAGCTGTTTTGGTTTGGTTGTTGATCCAAGACGAACATTAATGTTTCTTTCTACTCCATGTGTCTAATTAAGGCCCTTTAGGTTTGGCTGTTGATCCAAGACAAACATTAATGTTTCTCTCTCAAAAATTGTCCCCAAAGGTTTGAAAAAAATGTTTTTTTAATACATGCTCCTTTATAAGTTTATATTATAACTATTAATTTTTTTTTATGGAAAATAAAGAAATATATTAAGTAATAATAATTGCAACATAATCTCCATCTCATGGCATATAGGCAAAATCAAAATAATTTAAGGATAAAATCAAAAGCATAACCTACAGCACTTGTAACAGACTTTAATTACATCCATGATGAATATAGACAATTAAGCAAAGAGAGCCATTTGCAACTAGGGATTGAATTTACAATCGCTGTATGGATTAAATAGGGTTACTAATATAGAAAGGGGAGTCACTATGAGCATTAAGAACTATTGGACATCTCACCTATTCAACAAGTTGCTGCCCTACTTGTTCTTAAAGAAGAACAATCAAGAGGGTTATGAGCCTTTTCCTGACAAGCACAAGGTCCCCCAATCACCTCCATATAATCCCAATCATGTTCCCATCTTTGCCAATCCTCTTCAAACCCATGTTGTTGAAACTCATTAAGGGAACTAGAGCCCCTTTGCCGACTTGAAAATGAAGCTTCCCACGCATACCATAGTCAGCCTTACCAACATCATCCCTTTCCTTCAACAATCAGTTAACTGATCGGGAACTGGTGTGAACTAGATTTGTCGAATTCGACCCCCGCCAAGATCCCATCTGAGGAGATGCACCAAAGAGAGATTCTTACTCGTTAAATAAGAGAAACCCACTTGATTGGCAAGATTAATTCTAATCACAGCCTTCGAAAATCAACAGATGTAAAACTTAGAAAACTCAAAAAGCCGCTGCCTTGTGGTTCCTTTGGTTGGAGTTTCCAAAGCAAGAAACCAATTAGGGGAAGGAGGAGATCAAGAGGAAGAAGGGAGGGGTAAGAAGAAAGGGGGGATGAAGGAACTCCTATGCTAGAGAAAAGCCTTAGGGAGGAAAACCCACTGCCATTGCTCTCAACTCTAGAAGCAATGCATAGGAGCCACTACTAGAAAACCCAAAATCATCGACCTCAAATCACCGATGTAAAATTTTTTATCGGTAAATGAGCACTTTACCGACAAGAAACATATTTGTAAATGTAGTAATAGTAAAAATTATAGTAATTTATATTATTTAAGTTTCAAATAAAATCTTTATCGATGATTTAATGATATACACATGTGCTCCTTATTGGTAAAATTATGAAAAACTCAATTCAGTGGTGCGAGAATCAGTAACTCATATACCGACGTGATCCTCGTCGGTACCTACACAAACTCCAACCCACCCTGTGAATTAGCTACTCGCGCCAAGGGGTTTGCAGCATTTTTTTATGTTTATCGACGTGATCCTTGTCGGTAGGTTCACAATCTCCAACCCCGCCTAGTGAATTGGCTGCTCGCATCAGGGTTGTTGTTTTTTCATACGTTCCAACAATATTCTTGTCGGTAATTTGCATTACACCAACGTCAAGTTTGTCGGTGATGATCTTGGTCAACCAGATTCCTGAAGCAATGCAAAATTGATTAGCTTTACGGGTTTCCAACGTGAACCCATCGGTAAGCTTCCCCCTTACCTACCGAGACCCCCCATTCCCCTTTCATTTTCGTTTGTCGAGACCCCCGTTCCCCAACCCATCGGTAACTCGTTGAAACTGGTTGGTGAATTTCGGTGGGAATGCAAATTTTTTGTTTTTTTGGATTTCCGCTTTTAGGTTAGTTACCTATGTGGGTTTTGTTGGTAAAATTATTTCCGACATACCACACATAGGTAAAATAGTTTATATATATCCAGAACACTCTAACCCGATCATTTCTTCTTTCCTTCCTTCTTCTTCTTCTTCTTTTTCTTTTTTCTTCTCCTCCCTTATCTATCCCACCTCTTACTCTTCCATTCAAATACTGCTAGATTAATTGTATGATGTTTACAACTGCATTATATTCATATAATTTTAGGGTTATATCTTCTTAATCTCCTTTCTTTTTTCTCTTCCATTGTTTTTTTATATTTACTTAAACACTAATTTGTGTTATTAATGAATTTATTTGTAATTCTAATTTTTTTTCATTTTGTTTTCCAAGAAACATTGTTGGGAGATAATCATTGGGTAAGTAAATTTTATTTATATAAATTAACATTCAATTTCATTTATATTTTGATTATTATTATTTGATTGAAATTATATATATATATATGTAAATACTAACCAAATTTATGTTTCTTCATTTTTTAGGAAATTATATTGTGTAATTATTCACTTGATTGAGGTAATCTTTAATTTTTTGGATTATGTAGTTATATTTTATGTTTGTTGTATTGTTTTTATTTTTTAAATTATGTTTTAATCATTAATTTCAATAAATAAACATAATAATTTTCTGTTTATATTGTAAATTTTTAATA